CCTGATGGTAACCTAGTCTCCCTCCCCCCCCCCCCACAATTACAGAACAATACTACAAGCAGGATATGGATATTGATATAATCTACTATCTTATTCATATTCTCTAAATGTATTTATACTGATTTGTGTGGATTTCTTTTTAGTTCTATCAACCTGTATTGCAGGTACAGATTTGTTTATTTACCATCACAATCAATGTATTAGGCACTTACATCACACACAAAAAAGAAGCCTCCACTTGTCCTTTTAAACCACACTTTCCGTATCTCTATGTGTCTAGATTTCCTTTTGTAGAGATACTTGTCAAATTTTGTTAGGGACCAAGTCAATGGCTTCATTTAAATGCAATCCAAAACCTGTCCCAACCTAGAGTCACATTCTGAGGGGTGGGACAAATCAGCCCAAAGCATACAATATGTAAACTCTTGGAATTAGATTTGTTTTCCAGTCTGAATAATCCTTTGGAGATTATTACAGGTGTGTCAGTGGTTTCTTCCCTTATAATTACTGTGTACTATTCCATGGAATGCTAACCCCTTTCATGTTCTTAGCTCATGTGCTTCAAGTTAATGCTTTCAAATCCTTGTTAATAAGGATCCTCAGCAAAACAAACGGAAGCTAGAGGTGAGGAAACCACGAGCCCAGACCACTTTACCACTGATTCCTTTTTACTCAGTTATGATGGGTCAGTACTGAAAATCCATTTTTCAATAGTCATTCAGAATTAACTCACTAAAACTGTTTTGTGGAGGAAAAGCGGTACCAAAAATATTCTAAATTAAGATGTTCAGCATTCCTTTCTAAATTAAAACACTCAGAATTCCTTTCTGGGTGAATCTTTTCTCTAATTTGGTATCTGTTTAGAAAATGCTCAAGATCCAGAATTCAGGAGTCCTGGTTGCTTTTGTTACAAGTCCTTCCTTCCTATATGCGGCTCCTTGTATGTCAATGTGCTCTTCTATTCGTGACTGAATTCAACAACATGTATCCTTCTGCAGATGTGCTCACAAGACCAGAGTTGTGCTGCACAATTTGTAGATGGCATGGTTAGTCCAGAGAAGGCTCCTTTGTGGGGCATGGTGGCTGGCAGAATTCCTCTCTGGTTGGCGTTATTAGGGAAACTATAATTTGTCTTATTCATAGGCTATTGTCAAAGAAGTAAGGTTTCACTGTGTTTCAAGCCTAGCATGTAACAAGCTAAGATGGAGGTCTGTTCTAGAAAGCAACGTTATACCAACCAGGAATTTACCTCAGCAGATCTCCCTTGAGCTGGAACTTATCCTCACCATTGGCCCAAATTATTAGAGAACCATGACAGAGAAATGTTCTCCAACAGGACATTCTACAGTGACAGAGATGTTCAAGTTCGCCTTGTCTGCTATAGTACAGTCGCCACCACCCACCTGTGGCTATGAGATTTGGAGATGGAATGCTAAATTTGAGTTGGTGGAAGTTTAAGTAGTGAAACCTTTAGCTGCTCTCCCGGCCCAGGCAGCTGTAACAAGTAAGAAGGTACCATTGGAACCGCCACTGTAAAATTATAGACACTGGTTCCTCCTGTTTAATGGATATCTTTTCTCTGCGCAGGGGAGCGAACAGAGGCATAGAGAGAGAAGGGTAGTTGAATCCAAAGGCAAAATCATTTTCTGTGTTTATCTGTCCCAAATTCAAGCTGTGTTTTATTGACAAAATTTGGGAAGGTTGAAGACTTGGCAGGCCTGTCTGTCCCACTGCCTGCACGAACCCGTCAACAGCTCATTAATCTTGCGTTGAACTATAGAGACCCTTTTCCCTCCTACCACGGGATTATTTTTAAAGGACATTTCAGTACCCCTTTTGTATCTCTCAGATTTTTTTAAAAAAGAATTTACAAGTTGCTCCGTGGATTAATTTCAGCAGATGTTTATTTAAGTCTGTCCTGATGGTTTCCAAATTGGAACAAGAGAAATTATTTTGTGGGAGAAATTGTGTGTTAGAAGTTACTATTTTTTGGTCTTTTTTTCCTCTGTTTTTGGTCTTTTTTCCAGTACTGGAGGTTGAACTCAGGCTCTCTTTACTCCGTTTTTTTTTTTTTTCTCAAAGCAGGCACTCAACCACTTGAGCCACAATTCTACCTCACCTTTATGCTGGTTTACTGGGGATCAGAGTCTCACAGACATTTTCCCCATAGTTGGCTTTGAACTGTGATCTTCAGAACTGAGTCTTCTAAGTAGCTGGGATTATAGGCATGAGCCACTGGTACCTGGCATAGTGTGAGTTTGTTTTTTTTTCAGAGACACACTAGCCATTTATTTTCTAGAGACAAACAGCTAAAAGACCGTCTTCTCTCCAATTTTGATTGGCTTTTCCACTAAATGGTTCTGTCACATTCAGCAGGTGGCCCTTTCCTTGCCAAGAAAAGAAAAACGTATGTTCTATAGCTATTCCTCCCCCCTTAACCGTTTTCTGACATTTTTATTTGATGTTAGGAATTGGATGACAGTGTCTTTAAGACACACGGAATATTTTAAGCTTTAAGTTGGTAACACTTGTGTCTTACAGGTGCATGGTGAATTATTACTGCTTTTTTTTCCTCCCCTCTGAAGACAGACATGTAGAGTAACCACTGTCTATTTCCTGACACTGGAAACAGACACCGTTTGGGATTCCTTTTATAGTTTTGTCAGCTAACGATCCCAGTGACCACTCAACTGTGGTCTTGTAGTAAATCAAAATTTCTTTGAAAGACCCAGCTCTGTGATATAATTGTTGATGTCTATAGGGTCACGTCACTAACTCTCCTCAAGAGTAAACTTCAGCCCTGCTCAGTGGCACTACTTCTCACACAATAGTGTTCCCCCCAAAATAAAAAGATAAATTGCTTCTCCCTCCTCACCTCCCACCCTCTCCTCCTCTTAACTTAACCTACAGTTGAGGAAAGGTGGCAGACCAGGTTGGCCACAGGAATAAAGAAAGAACTTGGGAAATAAATTTGTGGGCTCAAGTGGTAGAGCAAAAAAGGCTTGAGGGAGAAAATCAAGCGAGTGCAAGGCCCTAAGTTTAAGCCTGAGTACCAGCACATAAGGAAGGAAGAAGGGAGGGAGGGAGGGAGGGAGGGAAGGAAGGAAGGAAGGAAGGAGGGGGAGAAGGAGGGGGAAAAGAAGGGAGGGAGGGAGGACATAACCACAGCATACACTACTGTCTCAAGCTTTCTCACCCTCCCACGAATGGCTTGTTCTCAGTGGAATTCAGGGGTTCATTCTGACTCTGTGGCCTCTCCACTGTATACAGTGCATTTGAATAAAGCAGATTTAGAAAATAAAATCAACCTGACTTCTGTCTGTGAGCCTTGTATTCACAGCCAATGGCTCGTGGCCATATCTGAGGCACAGGCAGAGGGAACTCGCCTTACTTGACCAGGCTGCACTTAGATGGAAGAAATGCCCACGGGATTTTCAAGTATGGCAAGTCCTGGGGGAGAGGGGGGTGCGGCAGGGTGGACCGTTGGCAGGCCTGTGCCAAAGCCTCCTGCTTCCCCAGTGCCCACGAGGCGATGACCCCCTGGGCTGCCCGCGACCCTCTAGTCAACAGAGAGAAAAGACTTTCTCCTCTGGACCCCAGGCGCCAGCGTGTGCCAAGCCTGGTAAAGCCACTCACCTCTTCCGTCCCTAATACCTCTCAGACCCGAGAACAATTAAAGCCAGTCTTTCCAGGCCACAGGGGAATTAAGGCAAATAAATCAGAAATCTTCAGCCTCCGCTGGAGGCTCGCCTCATTATGAGAGCAGATCTATTAGCCCTCTTGCCGTTGTCTTTCATTTCTCAAGTGAGGTGATTCTAATTAAATTAATCTGCATGTCAATCTATCGGTGATCAATCAAAGAGCCCTAGGTCTCCCCGATGCTGCAGGGGGCTTGCGGCTGACAGGGGCTGATAATGCAGGAAGAAATAAACTGTCGAGCAAAGTTAATTAGTCAACATAATAGGTGGATTAAACAGGAGTGGACCGATCGCTGTTTCTCCTGTCAAAGCATGAGGTGGGAGACCACGTTGCAATTACAGACAATTATTATATTTGGTTGTAAGAGGTCACATGAATAAACATATCTCGGTGGGTTTCGGTTTTAATCCCCTTCCCCATTTAATATAAGGAGAAGTGTAGGTCATTTCTTTTTATTGTTTTAGTCAAAGTTAACTGACACACACATTTGTCTGGGGTCCTTCTGACAAGCTAGCTTCAGAATGACTTATGGGAGATTGTCTGGGAGTGTCTGAATTGTGTCTCAGATCAGTCCTGTGTGTGTGTGTAATATATAATTTATATAATCTATACGTACAAATATATATATTCTTTAAAAAACAGATCTAAGACTTAATTAGCAGGACTTTTTCCCCCCAAGGGGTGGTGATAGTATGTGGGAAGAAAAAGCAAAAAAATATAAGAAATCTCAGGAAGATACCCAGGAGAGAAACATGTATCCCATCTCTCTGCAACCCCTCTCTTTCATTTCTCTTTCTTCTTAACCCTGACACAGTAGGGAGGAAATATTTAAAGATTCAAAAGCCTTTTATTTGCATGATCGGCTGTGATATCTGCTTCAGTGTCGAAACTGAAGGGTAATTTAGGTGAAACACAACCACCCTTGTGTAAAAAAAAAAAATATGCTAATAAAGATCCTCTTGTTAAAATTATGGTTAACAGTGTACCTTCTGCTGTGTAACTATAAACTGTGCAATTTTACTTAAAACTACATCAAAAACGTTCCATGCCAAAGACCCACTCATCAATAGCTCCTCTTGTTAGACTTGTATTGCATAAGCACCAGTCATTATGTGAATAGCTATGCAATTTTCTTCAACTCCCAGCTGTTATTTATTTAACTGGAGTTTATTACCCACCATGCTTTTATATGAAAATGTTCATTCATTTTATTCTCTCTCTCTCTCTCTCTCTCTCCCTCTTCCCCTCTCCCTCTCTCTCTCTTTCTTGCTCTCTCTCTCTCTCTCTCTCTCTGTTTCCAGGTCGTGGTATCTACAACAGTCAACGTGGATGGCCATGTGCTGGCCGTCTCTGACAACATGTTTGTCCACAATAACTCCAAGCATGGGCGGAGGGCTCGGAGGCTCGATCCCTCTGAAGGTACGCCCTCTTATCTGGAACATGGTAGGCGAATCATTTTCATTGGTTGGCATTGCTCTTTTAACTGTGCATTTATTTGGTTTCTTTCCTTCCATGCAACCCCATTATCTACTCGGTTTCAAATTTCAAATGGCCTGTTGAATCGGATTGATCCTCTGGGAGTTTTGACCATTCAAAACAGGATGCTGAGTATTTAACGGTGGGGAAATATCTTGGCTGCCTAGTGTATGTGTGTGGTATGACTCTACCTCAAAATGGCTAGCATCTCATCTTCCTTCACATGGAGAGGAGAGACTGGATTACCGCTGTAATCTAAGTTCCTGCATGATTACAGAATGATGAAAAGGCCAGTCCACAGGGGAGATAAAGAAAGGCTCTGAGCCTGGTGCCAGTGGCTCACACCTGTAATCCTAGCTACTTAGGAGGCTGAGATCTGAGGATCATGGTTCAAAGCCAACCTGGATGGAGAAGTCTGTGAGACTCTTAATGCCAATTAATCATAGAAAAAAACTGGAAGTGGCGCTGTGGCTTAATGGTAGAGCCGTAGCCTTGAGTAAGAGAAGCTCAGGGCCAGCACTCAGGCCCAGGGTTCAAGCCCCGGGACTGGCAAATAAAAAGAAAGGCTCTGCAGCCTGATAGTAATCTGTAATCAATCACCTGTCAATTTTGTTTGGAGATGAGGTCCAGAGTCCAGGTTGTAGATACAGTCAGAATAGGGGACAGACTGAATCTTCACTTCTGTGGGCTGTGTCCTCATCACCAGAACTTGCTTCCTGCTGCCAGGCTTCGGGGGGCCAGGGGGAAGCCACATCTGTTTTGAGAATAACTACAAGTCGATAATGTCTAGGAGAGGACAGGAGGAAGCCAGATAAATGTTTGTTTCAAGCAAAGTGAATACTCCTTAAGCAAAACATGGGTTGGGCTGGATGCAAGTCTAGATATATCTAAGTTGTATGTGTCTATAAAGAGTCCACCATTCCATCCATCCAGGAGTCAGTGGCTGAGACTCTACTGGAGAACAAATGTCATCCCATACTCGCTCTCTCACTTGAATTCCCAGTTTGCTAGGTCAGCAGGATGCTTTTGAGAATGCTACCACACAAATGATCACCTGATTGCCTGACCACCCCCACCCCCACCCCGCGTAGGCCACACGCTGTCAATGCTATAACTCATAGAGTCGAAACTTCCCTTCCCTGCCAACATCCCAATTTAATAAGCACACTGCTGTCACCCTTCCTGCCTCAGCCCTGCCATGCTTGAGGAATACACGAACAGTTCATTTTATTAATTAGATGTAGCACTCCTAGATGGAACTTATCACCACATCCAGTTTTGCAGACTTTTTTTTCCCCTAAAGTAAACCATCACCTTTCAAAAGCAGCTTCTGTATGGTTTCATTAGGGCTGACATGGATGGATATTGCCTTTTGCAGGCGGCCATTTGAAACACCTGCTCATGAGTTCATTTCCAGGACCATTTCTTTACTTAAAATCATTCTAATCTTAACTTCATAGTAATGTTGTCTTTTTATTTTAATACTTTGGGAGTCACTATCTATACTATTGCACAGATGAAGGTATTGAGAGGAGAGGAAGCAGAAAAGCTAGATGAGGAATCAGTGGGCACAATTTTGAAGGCCCTGGATTAAGAAATGTAGAGAGAGAAATGGGGGGGGGGGGCGGGCAGGAGGGGAGTGGTCCTACCTGTAATTGTAGCTCCTCAGAAGGATGATCTAAAGTGGTTGATCTAGCCACTAAAGAGTCAGAACTGGAGCTGTGACTCAAGTTGTGGAGCTCTAGCTTTGGGTGATAAAGCTAAGGGATAGCACCCAGGAGCCCTGAGTTCAAATCCCAGACAAGCATTAACAAAATAAAAATAAAGGGACTACCTTGTCCATAGAGGAATTTGACTCAACTTGAAAATGGGTGGAGTCTATAGTTTTACAAGGTGCTCGTTGGGGTTCCCATTTCTGCTCTTAGAGAGCCAGTAAAAAATACTGCTTACACTTGCCAATTATCCCTCCAATCGAAAATCCCAAAGTAAGCAAGATAAAAAAATAAAATAAAATGCACACACCCTGCCAGAAAGAAAAGATTGGTATATGATGTGTATCACAGTTCCTGGTGCCCATACCAGGAACCCCAGATTCGCTTCTTTGTCTCACTCTGGTCTCACTCACTATCTATACTATACTTTGTCTCACTCTGTGTGACCCCCGAGAAGTCAGCTTTGCAGAGCCCTGGATTGCTTCCCGCAAAGCCGACGGTGATGGTTGGCAGTGGGGTAGAACACAGCCATGTGTCTCATCTGTGCTTGGGTGGAGGCAGTGATGTGGGGGAGGAAGGACACGGGGTGGGGACCAGAAGGCAGGCAGGTGCACGCTCTGCTGCCCCCAGGCGCAGCCAGCGTCACTAAAGGGAACAAGAGGCTGGAGGAGCAGCTATTTCAGCCTGGCAAGAATTAGCTTCTCTAGCCACTGGTAGCTCACGCCTGTAACCCTAGCTACACCAGAGGTTGAGATCTGAGGATCTCATTTCAGAACCAGCCAAGGCAGGAAAGACCATAAGACTCTTATCTCCACTTAACCACACCAAAAAGCCGGAAGTGGAGCTGTGGCTCAAGTCGTAGAGCACTAGTCTAGAGGACAAAAAGCTAAGGGACCTGAGTTCAAGCCCTCGCCCCTCCCCGCCCCCTGCAACATACCATGAGATAAAACTTTCCTAAATTTTAATTGTTGATAACTCATCATGAAAAAGTTCAACTTTAAAGTGGAGAGAGGGGCAGAAGGAAAGGTCCACACAGCAAAGAAGTATCCACAACCACAAGTTAACACCAACAATGGCTCCAACATCTCTCAGCTTCCTCCCAGCTCCAGCATTCTCTCTGCTAGGACTATGTGCTAGTATTTCAGCTGGGATATTTTATTTCAAAATTTAGAGCTACTTCTTTCTTTCTCTGCTTTGGCTTAGCAATCCGCAGAAGGCTATGTGTGTTATTATTAGGATATTATTCAAGAAACTGGCACCTTTGCATAAACTGTTGATGCTTAGCCATCACCGAGTTTGCGATTGTGTCTTGTGTTTATTTAAGAATTCCTCCCCTATACTCTCTTTCTCTCCATTCCTACCCCTACTTCAAAACAGCTACTGTATAGTTTGCTAAGTGTCTTCACCTCTTGAGACCTGTAGAAATCTTCATTCCCCCCACCCTCTCTCCCCACCCCTATTCTGGGCCTTTTACCACCTCATTTGCAGGTGGCCTGAATTATTGTAAGCAGTGTAGCACATCTCTATTTATATCCTGCCTGTCAGAGAGTTGGGGAAAAGTTCCTTTCATGCCTCGTCCTTCTGCATGTAAGTAGATAAGAAATCATGCTTCACATTCATGCAAGTTTTCCACGTATGACCATGGACTCCGCGTCCCTGCGCTGATGAATGTCCCTGGATTGCAAATACTGGGGTTGACAAACGTAAATTTATGTCCTAGATTCTCGCACAGTCTGCTGGGGAAGTTGAATCTTGGTACACTGTAGTGGATGGTAATTGTACACCCTCCACCCCACCCCGTACATTTTCTTCATTCATAAATACTGAGATTTTCTTTGGCTGGATCTTTATGGGAGCATTTAATGAGGTTTCTTCTTTAAGCAAGAGCTTTATGGAGGATGTACAGTGGTAGAGAACAGCAACCTCAAAAATGTAACTGCACCGAGGGTTCCAATTTTTACAAAAGCGTAGGCTTGAAACCAAAGGAATTGGATTGTGGCCACCTGCAGTAATGCTCAGTGTTACCTGTGTGCTTACCTTGGCTTCTAATCACACAGGCAAATTCCTAGGTACTATGGGCTGGCAAGCCTGAAGGGGCTTAAGAGACTATTGTTCTTGTCATTGCTGTTTAGCTGGAGGCTCAGGTAGTGTTTACTTGAATTTAAGGCCAATTGTGGTATCAGTTTGTAAATTTCTTCCCCCTGTGGCAAAATGGGGTGGCCTCACTACAGGAGAGAGCAGAGACCCTGTCAGCTAGCATGCACTAACACTTTATTATCTAATGATCTAATACGCACCAAGGCAAAGTGCTGGTGCTCATCACCCTGACACGGAATGCCGGGAGAAGTGACTAAATTACTTTATGTTCCATTAGCGCCAGCAATGATGGTGAACTCACCGCAGCATTTATGCAAATACCTGTGAAGACACCCCAGTGGCTTTGTCAGGAAGCCAGCTGACAGGCAGTTTAAATGCTCAGTTTTTAGGGGATCTCTAGCTCTTATGTGAGTCTGTCTATCTGTCTGTCTATCCATCCATCCATGCTATACATATGTGTTTGGTATTTTTTTTATAATTTGGTGTGCATATGTTTTCTCCCTTCTATCCCCTCTCTACTTTGGGGGCTGACTGGGAAAAGCAGAGTAGCTCTGAGAGACCCTTCCAGGAGTGCAAGCCAGGTCTCAACCTGGCATTCTTCACATCTAGGTTGTTGTTGTTGTTTTTAATCATCCGAACGTGGTATAGCTTTCATATTTATTTGTGAAAAAAAATCAATGGAATGATTAATCATGAGTTTTTAGAATAAGGATATTTTAATGTTTGTGAGTTCTGACCTGAGATCCTACTTCATTTCATGGCACAAATACAGATTTTTAAAAAATAAACACACCCATCTTTAAAAAAATGGAAAAGTGTTTGAAATGTAGCTTTTGGTGGGCATCTGATAGGAATGAATTAAATTTCCCTTCAAAGTAATTACAAAGATTGTGGCATGAATTAGAAATGTGCCAGGACCCCCAAATAAGACAAAACAAAAGTGGGCTTGGATCAAACAAACAATATTTTGAGAATTAGCCGGAGTAGACTCACCAGGGACCGGCCCCTGGTTGTAATTACATTTTGAGAGAAATAGAATCAGGATTTCACCATTGCCAGTTAGTTCTGACCTTTGGTTCCAGATGTCCCTGACAATATGGTGTTATTCTTGATCTTTAGCATATGACCTTCTTTAATCCTCTTGCTTCGGGGGCTCAA